ACTGCTTACTTGTACCTAGAATCTATTTATTTGTAATAAATAGTAATTCTTAACTTAAAGCACAGACCTGGTTTCTTTTCAACCTGGAACTGAACATTAAGTAAGTTGGGTATTTTGTATGAGAATCATAGAATCCCTACAATGGAAAAAGAGGCCATTCAGCCCTTTGAATCTGCACTGACCCTCTGAAGAGCATCCCACCCACACCCAGACCCTGTCTACCCTATCCCCTTAACCTCGCATTTTCTGTGGCTAATCCAACTAGCCGACACATCCTTAGTCACGGCCAGGTAATTTAGCATGGCCAATCTACCTAAGATGCGTATCTTTGGCCTGTGGGAGTAAACCAGAGCACCTGGTGGAAACCCAAGCAGACATGGGAAGAATATGCAAACTCCATGCTGGCAGTCACTCAAGGCTGGAATCTATGCATTTTAATATCTTTGACTTTTGGACAATGTTGGGGATAGCAGGGCTTGATTTCCAGCATGCTATCCCAGTGAGTCATGACAAGACACCGAATGTTTCCTCCCAAATGAAAGACATTACTCTGAGGCAGTCACTGAATAATCCAATAGAGAATTCAGATGAAACTTCTTTACCCAGAGTTTGAGAATGTTAAAGTTGTTATCACAGGGGATGGTCGAAACAAACAGTACTGATGTGTTTAAGGAGAGGCATACAAAGAGGACAAAAATATACAAATACAGAATTAATAGATGACAAAAGACAGGAGGACACTGATCCAGAACAAAAGAACTGGCAAGGACTGGTTCGGATAAATGAAATGTCTTGCTTTGTGCTGTGTATGCAATGGAATCTAATATAAAAGAGTGGGAAAATGGCACACGCAAAGAAGCAGCACATTTATTACTGTTTGCCTACTTTTGCTTTCTGAGGCAAATAGTGGAATTTGAATTCAATTAAAATCTGAAATTAAGAGTTGAACAATGACCATGAATCCGTTGTCAATTGTCAGGAAAAACCCATCTGGTTGACTAATGTCATTTAGGGAAGGAAACTGCCATCCTTACTTGGTCTGGCCTACATGTGACTCCAGAGCCACAGCAAAGTAGTTGATTCTTAACTGCCCTCTGGGCAAATAGTGATGGACAATAAATGTTAGCCTAGCTAGTGTCACCCATATCCTGTAAAAGAATATTAAGAAGACCTATTTTTGATATTTTAAAGACCTTTCTAACTGGACCCTAGGCCAATTTGGAATTTTACTGTTTCCAGTTTTTGGGTTGTCTTACTGCAGTTATACAGGGATAACACAGTGTGGAGCTGGTAGGAACACAGTATGCCAGGCAGCATCAGAGTAGCAGGAAAGCTGACATTTCGGGTCAGGACTCTTCTTGAAATGGGGGAGGGGGAAAGGAGCTCAAATAAATAGAGGAGAGGCGGGATGGTGATAGGTGAGTGCAGGTAGGCAGCGGTGGGGATTGGTCAGTGAGCTGGGATGAGCAGATAGGTGGGGGAGAAGACGGACAGGTTGTGTCAGGTCAAGGAGGTGGGGATGAGAGGGAGGGTTGGTCACGGGATGAGGCCGGGGTGGGGAGATTTTGAAACCAGTAACGTTCACATTGAGAGCATTGGGTTGTAGGCTCACAAGGCGGAATATGAGGTGCTGCTCCTCCAGTTTCTGTGTGGCGTCATTGTGACACTGGAGAAGGCCCAGGATGGACATGTCGTCCAGGGAGTGGGAGGGGGAGTTGAAGTGATTCCCGACTGGAAGGTGTTCTCGTTTGTTGCGAACAGAGCACAGGTGCTCTACAAAAGCGGTCTCCAAGCCTCTGCTTGAATATCACCAATGTGGAGGAGGCCAAATTGGGAGCAGCGGATGTGCAGGTGAATCTCTGTCTGATGTGGAAGGTTTTTTTGGTTCCTTGGATGTGAGGGGGGAGATGTAGGGGCAAGTGTAGCACTTCCTGCGGTTACAGGGAAAGGTGGTGGGCCTAGTGGGGAGTGTGGAGCGGACGAGAGTCGCGGAGAGAGCAGTCCCTTACGGAAAGCAGATAGGGGTGGGGAGAGAAAGACGTCTTTGGTGGTGGGGCCGGATTGCAAATGGTGGAAGTGTCGGAGGATGATGCATTGGATCCGGAGGTTGGTGGGGTGGTACGTGAGGACGAGGGGGATTCTTTTTTGGTTCTTATTGCGTGGACGGGGTGTGAGGGATGAGGTGTGGGAGATGTGGGAGACACGGTTGAGGGCGTTCTCGACCACCGAGGGGGGGAAGTTATGGTCCTTGAAAAACGAGGACAACTGAGATGTACGGGAGTGGAATGCTCATCCTGGGACCAGATGCGGCGGAGGCGAAGGAATTGGGAATAGGGGATAGCATTTTTGCAGGAAGGTGGGTGGGAGGAGGAGTATTCTAGGTAGCTGTGGGAGTCGGTGGGCTTGAAATGAATATCGGTTTATAGGTGGTTGCCCGATATGGAGACAGAGAGGTCCAGGAAGGGGAGAGAGGTGTTAGAGATGGTCCAGGTAAACTTAAGGTTGGGGTGGAAGGTGTTAGTGAAGTGGATGAACTGTTCGAGCTCCTCGTGGGAGCACGAGGCGGCGCCGATACAGTCATCAATGTAACGGAGGAAGAGGTGGGGTTTAGGGCCGGTGTAGGTACTGAAGAGGGATTGTTCCACGTAACCTACAAAGAAGCAGGCGTAGCTTGGGCCCATGCGGGTACCCATGGCTACCCCCTTTGTCTGTAGGAAGTGGGATGAATTGAAAGAGAAGTTGTTGAGTGTGAGGACGAGTTCGGCTAAGCGGATGAGGGTATCAGTGGAGGGGGACTGGTCGGGCCTGCGGGACAGGAAGAAGCGGAGGGCCTTAAGGCCATCTGCATGGGGAATGCAGGTGTAGAGGGACTGGACGTCCATGGTAAAGATGAGGTGTTGGGGACCGGGGAATTGGAAGTTCTGGAGGAGGTGGAGGGCGTGGGTGGTATCATGGACATAGGTAGGGAGTTCCTGGACCAAGGGGGAGAAAATGGAGTCTAGATAGTTGGAGATAAGTTCGGTGGGGCAGGAGCAGGCAGAGACAATGGGTCGACCAGGGCATTCAGGTTTGTGGATTTTGGGAAGGAGATAGAAGCGGGCAGTGCGAGGTTGGGGAACGATGAGGTTGGAGGCCGTGGGTGGGAGGTCACCTGAGGTGATGAGGTTGTGGATGGTTTGGGAGATGATGGTTTGGTGCTCAGGGGTGGGGTCGTGATCAAGGGGGCGGTAGGAGGAGGTGTCGAAGAGTTGGCGTCTGGCCTCAGCGATGTAGAGGTCAGTGCGCCATACTACAACTGCGCCTCGCTTGTCCGCGGGTTTTATGGTACTTCACTTCACTAACACCTTCCACCCCAACCTTAAGTTTACCTGGACCATCTCTAACACCTCTCTCCCCTTCCTGGACCTCTCTGTCTCCATATCGGGCAACCACCTAGAAACTGATATTCATTTCAAGCCCACAGCTACCTAGAATACTCCACCCACCTTCCTGCAAAAATGCTATCCCCTATTCCCAAGTCCTTCGCCTCCGCCGCATCTGCTCCCAGGATGAGGCATTCCACTCCCGTACATCTCAGTTGTCCTCGTTTTTCAAGGACCGTAACTTCCCCCCCTCGGTGGTCGAGAACGCCCTCAACCGTGTCTCCCACATCTCCCGCACCTCATCCCTCACACCCCGTCCACGCAATAAGAACCAAAAAAGAATCCCCCTCGTCCTCACGTACCACCCCACCAACCTCCGGATCCAACGCATCATCCTCCGACACTTCCGCCATCTGCAATCCAACCCCACCACCAAAGACATCTTTCCCTCCCCACCCTTATCTGCTTTCCGGAGGGACCACTCTCTCCGTGACTCCCTTGTCCGCTCCACACTCCCCTCCAGCTCCACCACACCCGGCACTTTTCCCTGCAACCGCAGGAAGTGCTACACCTACCCCCATACCTCCTCCCTCACCCCCGTCCCAGGCCCCAAGAAGACTTTCCACATCAAGCAGATGTTCACCTGCACATCTGCCAATGTGGTATACTGCATCCGCTGTACCCAGTGTGGCTTCCTCTACATCGGGGAAACCAAGCGGAGGCTCGGGGACCGCTTTGCAGAACACCTACGCTCGGTTCGCAATAAACAACCACACCTCCCAGTCGCGAACCATTTCAACTCCCCCTCCCATTCCTCAGACGACATGTCCATCCTGGGCCTCCTGCAGTGCCACAACGATGCCACCTGAAGGTTGCAGGAACAGCAACTCATATTCCACTTGGGAACCCTGCAGCCCAATGGTATCAATGTGGATTTCACAAGTTTCAAAATCTCCCCTCCCCCTACCGCATCCCAAAACCAGTCCAGCTCGTCCCTGCCTCCCTAACCTGTTCTTCCTCCCACCTATCCCCTCCTCCCACCTCAAGCCGCACCTCCATCTCCTACCGACCAACCTCATCCCGCCCCCTTGACCTGTCCGTCCTCCCTGGACTGACGTGTCCCCTTCCTAACTCCCCACCTACACTCACCTTTACTGGCTCCATCCCCGCCTCTTCGACCTGTTTGTTTCCTCTCCACTTATCCATCTTCTATCCGCCTCCCACTCTCTCCCTATTTATTTCAGAACCCCCTTCCCCTCCCCTTTTTCTGATGAAGGGTCTAGGCCCGAAACGTCAGCCTCTCTGCTCCTATGATGCTGCTTGGCCTGCTGTGTTCATCCAGCCCTGCACCTTATTGCCTCGGATTCTCCAGCATCTGCAGTTCCTACTATCTCTGATTCAAAGAGCTACACAGTGTCTGGTTAGGATCTGGGAGGATGTTGAAAAAAGATTTCCGCGGCCTTCAAAAGAATATTGAAAAATCATGTGAAAGGAAAAATGCAGCATTGCCCAATAACAATGTATAGAAGGGAATATTTAGGTAGCTCTTGTACAGTCACTATGACACAACTGAGCAGTACGCTTTTGTGCAGTCACTATCTATGATCTTGTCTCCGCCCCACGAGCTGTGATGTCTGACCCGTATTTGCAGTAGCTCCTCCCCGAACACTCGCATCCATTGCTGGCATCATGAGTCAAGAGGAGGATGTGGTCATCGTATGTGCTGCCAGAACCCCGATCGGTAAGAACATTCGGATTGGTAAGGGAATGGAGCGAACAAGTCGGGTCCGCGCATATGCTGTAAAATAGTGAAACAATAATAGACGGACTCTTTCCCTGCCCTCCATTCGAATTGCGCGGAAAGTCGGAATCCGTGTGCAAACCTTTTGGCCCAGCCGTGGCCTCTTGTTGGACCAGCCGCCGATCAGGAGCCGGCTGGCAACCAATCGCACGCTCCCTATCATTGTCTTTTAACTCAGCAGCGGATAGGCAATGTCCCTACAGCCATTCTTTTCCGTGGAGTGAAGTTAGCGAGGTATGGCAACCAAACATTTTAAACTGAACCTAAATACTGCAGTTCTTTTCGACAAATAAAGTAGTCCTTTAATGTTAAAAGGGCAGCTTTGTACTTCTCTGGAACTATGGCGACTTTACCTTAATTTACGAAAAAAATACCAAATCGAGGGCGGCACGGTGGCTCATTGGTTAGCAATGCTGCGAAGGACCCGGGTTCAGTTCCACCCTCGGACGAGTGTCTGTGTGGAATTTGCACATTCTCCCCGTGTCTGCGTGGGTTTCCTCTGGGTGCTCCGCTTTCCTCCCACAGTCCAAAGGTGTGCAGGTTAGATGGATTAGCCATGCTAAATTGCCCTAGTGTTCAGCGATGTGCAGGCTATGTGGATTAGCCATGGGAAATGCAGGGATAGGGTAGGGGGATGGGTCTGAGTGGGCTACTGTTCAGAGGCTTGGTCGCCGAGGACCCTTTGGGCCGAATGGCCTGTTTCCATATTTGTAGGGGTTCTTTGGTAATACCGGGTTTATATTCCCGGAATACAACGTAGAGAGTATTTAAGTTTATTTAGAATACTTGGATGAATCCAGCAGATTTGTATATTAATATATTGAAAACTTTTCCAGGAATATATGTTAATCATGTCAGTTCAGTGTGATCACAGCAGAATTTCAGTTTCCTATAATGCTCAATGTGTGTTATGAGGCTTATCAGTTTGGAAGATTAAAATCATAACATAAGAACATAAGAACTAGGAGCAGGAGTAGGCCATCTGGCCCCTCGAGCCTGCCCCGCCACTTAATACGATCATGGCTGATCTTTTTGAGACTCAGCTCCACTTACCTGCCCACTTACCATAACCCTTAATTCCTTTACTGTTCAAAAGTTTATCTAGCCTTGCCTTAAAAACATTCAGCAAGGTAGCTTCAACCGCTTCACTGGGCAGGGAATTCCACAGATTCATCACCCTTTGGGTGAAGAAATTCCTCCTGACCTCAGTCCTACATCTGCTTCCCTTTATTTTGAGGCTATGCCTTCTTGTTCTAGTTTCACCTGCTAGCGGAAACAACCTCCCTGCCTCTACCTTATCTATTCCCTTCATAATCTTCTTTGTTTCTATAAGATCTCCCCTCATTCTTCTGAATTCCAATGAGTATAATCCCAGTGTACTCAGTCTGTCCTCATAATCCAACCCTTTCAACTCTGGAATCAACCGAGTGAATCTCCTCTGCACCCCCTCCAGTGCTAGTATATCTCTTCTCAAGTAAGGAGACCAAAACTGTGCACAGTACTCCAGGTGTGGCCTCACCAGGACCCTATACAGCTGCAGCATAGCCTCCTTGTTGTTAAACTCCATCCCTCTAGCAATGGCAGACAAAATTCCATTTGCCTTTTTAATTACTTGCTGCACCTGCAATCCTACTTTTAGTGATTCATGCACAAGGACACCCAAGTCCCTCTGCACAGCAGTGTGCTGCAATTTTTTACCATTTAAAACCTAGTCCATTTTGCTGTTATTCCTACCAAAATGGATGACCTCACACTTTTCATCATTGTACTCCATCTGCCAGACCTTTGCCCACTCACTTAGACTATCTATATCCCTCTGCAGACTTTCAGTGTCTTCTTTACACTTTGCTCTACCACTCACCTTAGTGTCATCTGCAAATTTTGACACACCACACTTAGTCCCCAACTCCAAATCATCTATGTAAATTGTAAACAATTGCGGTCCCAACACTGATCCCTGAGGCACACCACTAGCCACTGACCGCCAACTAGAAAAACATCCATTTACCCTTACTCTTCGCTTTCTACTGGTCAACCAATCCTCTATCCATGCCAATACATTACCTGTAATACCATGCAACTTTATCTTGTGTAGCAGCCTTTGGTGTGGCACCTTGTCAAATGCCTTCTGGAAATCCAGATACACCACATTCACAGGTTCCCCATTGTCCACCATGTTCGCAGCATGGTGGCTCAGTGGTTAGCACTGCTGCCTCACAGCACCAGGGACCCGGGTTCGATTCCACCCTCAGGTGGCTGTCTGTGTGGAGTTTGCACGTTCTCCCCATGTCTGTGTGGGTTTCCTCTGGGTACTCAGGTTTCCCCCAACAGTCCAAAGATGGGCAGGTTAGGTAGATTTGCCATGCTAAATTGGCTGTAGTGTTCAGTGATGTGCACCTTGGGTGGGTTATAGGGGGATGAGTCTGGGTGGGCTGCTCCAAGTGTTGGTGTGGACATGGGCCAAAGGGCCTGTTTCCACATTGTCGGGATTCTATTCTATGAGAATTCAATAATGTGAGGCATGACCTGCCCCTCTCAAAGTCATGCTGACTATTTCTAATCACACTGTGCTTTTCCAAATTATCATAAATACTACCTCTCGGAATCCTCTCTGATAATTTGCCCATCACAGAACTAAGGCTGACGAGTCTGTAATTCCCAGGATTATCCCTATTCCATTTCTTGAACAAGGGAATAACATTTTCCATCCTCCAATCATCTGGTACTACTCCAGTGGACAGTGAGGACACAAAGATCATTGCCAAAGGCGCAGCAATCTCTTCCCTTGCTTCCCGTAGCAACCTTGAGTATATCCCATCTGGCCCAGGGGACTTATCCATCCTCATCTTTTTCAAAATTTTATAGCACATCCTCCTTCCTAATCCTGTTTGAGCATATCAGCCTGTTTCACGATGTCGATACAAACTACAAGGTCCCTCTCACTGGTGAATACTGAAGCAAAATATTCATTAAGGACCTCCACTACCTTCTCTGACTGCATGCACAAGTTCCATCCACTATTCCTGATCGGCCTTACCCTCACTCTGGCCATCCTCTTGTTCCTCACAGAAGTATAGAACGCCTTGGGGTTTTCCTTAATTCTACCCGCCAAGGCGTTTTCATACCCCCTCCTAGCTCTCCTCAGTTCTTCAGTTCCTTCCTGGCTACATTGTAACCCTGTAGAGCCCTATCTGATCCTTGCTTCCTCAATCTTAAGTAAGCTTCCTTCTTCCTCTTGACTAGATGTTCCACATGTCTGGTCATATATCTGCTGCCCTAGTCCTTCCAGATGGAAATAGTCATGGATTCTTAAATTCCTAGTAACCTTTCCCTTTCCCTTCAGGGATCTGTGGACAAGACCCCCCAGGATCCCTCGGTTCCTCTAAGTTTCCTGGTGTCCTACCATTCACTGAATATTCCCTTGTCTTGTTACACAGGAGCAAGGGGATGCCATTCAGCCCCTCCATCCTGTTACCCAAAAACAGGAGGAGACCAGTCAGTCATCCCAGCAGGCTGGTAGTAGGGAGATGGAGTAGCCTAGTATCATCCTGGTGTGCATGGTGCCCACATCATATCCCTCACCACAAACAGTGAAAAGAATGGAGTTTGGGCGTCAGCAGAGAGAATCCTTTGCTTTATTCAGGAATCAAAAGGAACTTGTTGTGACGCCTTTGCCCTATCTCACTTGTAACCTTCACTTCCAATTCCCCATTCATCGACTGGTACACTCTCTATGGTTCCCTAGTATTAGCCCACTGTCTTTCAAGTGCAGAGCAGAATTGCTGGACCGACTCTGCCCGGTACTCCCAGGGGATGGCCCGGAATTGGAGGTAGCCAGTCCCAGCCTCCAGGCAGCGCTGAGTGGTCATAAGGAACTGTGGCAGTCAGTATAGGGAGGTTGTTTCAGAGATTGTAGGAACTGCAGATGCTGGAGAATCTGAGATAACAAAATGTAGAGCTGGATGAACACAGCAGGCCAAGCAGCATCAGAGGAGCAGGAAGCCTT